ATCGACAGGAACATAATCATTTAGATTAATGTTCCTCGCCAAGAAAAGCCTGATATATATTGGGGTCTTGTGAAAAGAAAAATAGAACAATATACAATATGATCCATGCTACTATGAATGGAAAAAACATAAGGCGAGGTAATAGGGAATTACGTTCCAATATATTGGTAAAGACTATGGAGGCTCAATACTTACCCTAAATGAAGCTCTTTGGGTGGAGAAAAATAACTATTGTTCAACAAAACAAAGTTGGAGGAGCGGGCGATTATAGGAAGAGCGCATACTTACCTAGAAGATTTCAAGTCACATTTTCTAAGAGCACCACATAGATCAATCAAAGGCCACACTGAACATTGGAAAAGATCATCACCACGGAGGTATAAAATGAACGTTGATTTTGCGATCATGAATTTAGGTGGTGTGGGGATTTGGTCTTGTCTTCCACAATTGGGATGACCACTTCTAGATGGGGGCAATTTGTCAAATGCGAATCAGATAGGGAGCGGAGATGGCAGAAGAGACAACCTTTCGATGTGGCCATGCATCTAACTTGGGCACATTTCTTTCAACCATTGTTGATAGAAACGAATTGCTAGGGGTTAGTGAACAAATTTAATGGAAAGTAATGACAATTTTGGAGATTGGCAGTGTTCGTGAGGAGATAAGGGAAATTGCTAAAGTTTAGGAAAATGTGAATTGGAGGTTTTGAGGAAGGGGGTAATAGTGCAATAGACTTGATGGCTCATGTGGAGTGTATCTATATGACTATGAGAGGAGATTGAAGTATGTTTTGGAAGATCAATTTTTTTTTGTTACTCAACCATTTAGCAATTGTAAATCGTAATACCTCAAACCCTAAATTTTGTATGGATACGAGTAAGATAAAATACAAAACGAATAATGGCCAACTCGTATCTTTTACTGTATCCACCAAATTTTACAATGGATAACACTTATGCCCATATCCTACAGTCAATGACCAAATTGTTGGAAGAAGCTCGACAATGTTGGAAGGTTTCAAAGATATCAAGGAAGCTAGACACAGCTCACCGGCCCAACTCATCTCAAGGCAATGGTCGACCAAGCCAGCAAGGAAAGAATGATCAATCAGGCCATATCAAGATCAATTCTCGTCACCGGTTGAAGGAGAGAAGCCGAATCTTCATCACCTAGGCGAGGGCTATTTAAGGAGCCCAACTTAAGAATAGAAGACAGACTTTTTAAGGAAAAAAAATCAAGAAAGCAATAGTGAGCTAGTATGAGATTTTGTTAAAGAAAAGTCAGTCAGAAGATCAGGGAGACTTTTGGGTTTGATACTGGGTAGTATCAGGGTTCTCTCTTAACCAGGTAGTTTATAGAGTGAATCGATCGAGCTGGGTAGCTGATAGATCTAGGAATAGTGGTACTTACGTTGGAGAACGCTTAACGCGTAACTCCGACCGTGGAATATTCAATGTTGGGATCCTCATTCTCCCAACGTTGGAAACCACGTATAAATATCCGGTGTAGTGGTTCACTCTTCTCCCTTTCTCTATTATTGGTTTATACTATGTTATTTATTGTTATTTCTCAAACTTTGCTGCATGGTACATTTTTATTAGAGAAACAAGAGGAAGAAGGGTTGGACTCAATTAGTAAAATGGCGAGTTTAAAGAAAAGTTGTTTCTTAAATAAGATTGTTGGGCTATAGTTTGTGTTTTTACAGGCTGAAAGAAAGTTGAGGTGGGCTATTGGTTTGTGGAAGTAGTGGGCTCAAGTCTCATTACACCTTCAGACAATTCTCATTAGTCATTTCACAACCAAACACAAGGAAGTAAAACTCCCTCTTGCATTGATCAAATTAATTTCTGAATATCTATTTCACTTGTTCTTGTCAAGAGTTTCGAGTGAGGTAAAGTGCAGGTGCTCAATTGATCCGAGAAAGCTACGAGAAAAGGGCATGCACGTCTCGCTCTCGACGCTATAACACGGAGGGATGGGATTAGGTGCTAACCCTTATAGGGGTCGTGATAATTAGCAAAAAACGCTACTAAAAACAACGAACTCACTACGGATTATTATAAAATCAATACAACATCTAAGCTAAATCACTACTAACCCTTGGTTAGGACGGTGCTAACTCTTGTACAATTAGCACCGTAACTCCTCCCTAACACGGATAGCCCAAATCAGATATCCATGAGTACAATTTGGATTGTCATCCCTAGTAAGAAGTAACAATGAAAATTGTAAATGAGTGGGAGCGACAAATCCTTGCTGAGCGAAAAAGCAAGTAAAATAGTACCATTAACCCCTCTCACATGAGAATGAATGAGGTGGTCTTAGTTTTGATGTAACATTCCTCGAGATTGTGGAAGAAATGTTCTACAAGCGATTTTCCAACTGATCGACAAGAAAATAATCATTTAGATTCATATTCCACGCCAAGAAAAGCCTGATATTAGGTCATGGAAAAAGAGAAATGGGACAATATACAATCCGATCAAGCTAATATGAATGGGAAAGACATAAGGAAGGGGAGGTAATAGAGAATTACGTTACGATATATTGATAAAGACTACGGAGGCTCAAAATTTCCCCTAAAGTGAAGCTCTTTGGATGGGGCAAAACAACTATTTGTTCAACAACAAAAAGTTGAAGGAGTGGACGATTGTAGGGAGAGAGCAAACTTACGTAGAAGATTTTTTAGTCATATTTTCTTAGAGCACCACATAGATCAATCAAAGGCCACACTGAACATTGGAAACGACCACCACCATGAAGGTAAAAAATGAATGTTGACGTTGCGATCCTAAATTCAGGTAGTGTGGGGGTTTTGGTCTTATCTTCCGCAATTGGGATGACCAATTCTAGATGTTGGCGGTTTGTCAAATGCGAATCAGATAGGGAGCGGAGATGGCAGAAGAGACAACCTTTCAATGGGGACATGCATTTGACTTGGGTGCATTCCTTCCAACCAGTGTTGATAGAAACGAATTGCTATTGGTTTGGTGAACAAATTGTATGGAGAAAGAAGTGACAATTTTGGAGATTGACAATGTTCATGAGGAGATAATGGAGATTGTTGAAGTTTAGAGAAATGTGTATTGGAGGTTTTGAGGAAGGGGGTAATAGTGCATTGCAATAGATTCAATGGCTCACGTGGAGTGTATGTATATGATGATGAGAAGAGATTTAAGTACAATTTGGAAGATCAATTTTTTTTACTCAACCATTTATCAATTGTAAATTTGTAATACTTCAAACCCTTGATTTTAGATGGACACGGATAAAATCAGAGGCGGAGGCAGCCTCATTTGCCCCTGTCAACTCACACAGCGTAGCCTTACCGCTACGCTACATCCAATCATTTGATTATAAGTGGAAACATTATAAATATATTTTCTTAAACATATTGTTTACTTGCATGACTTGTTTTAGCCCGGAGTCTGAATTCGCTACTTTTGATCTGGAGAAACTGATGTGTCTTACTAGATTTTATCTTGCTTGAGTTTGGTTTCATCCATGATACTATTATTCGACAACAGTTTATTGGGTATCATCGTGATGTTATGGCTAATGAGAGATTTGCTAGATTAAAAGGAATTGATGAATTTTCTCGAGTAATGGTGGAGACAAAAGTGCATCAGTCATATCCGTCTGTTTATTTGCTTCTGAAGCTAGTTTTGACTCTTTCCAGTTGCAAATGCAAGTGTAGAAAGAGCATTTTCAGCTTTAAGCTATATCAAGAACAAGTTTCGAAGTCGAATTGGAGATTAGTTTGCTAATGATTGTTTAGTAGGATACATTCAAAGAGACTTACTTACACATGTAGACAACGAATGTATTTTGCATTTCTTTCAGAATATGAAAACCCGTCGTGGTTGTTTGTGAAAACAATGATTATATTAGTAGGTAATTTCTTTGTCTATGAATGGATTATTTGGATATTATTAATTTTATATTTATTTATTAATTAATTACTTATATTTATATTTTGAAAAGAGGACAGAGGTAGTTTCAAATCCTGGCTCCGCCACTAGGTAAAATAACTTTACAAATTGAATAATAGCCAACTTGTACCTTTTACCCTATCCACCAAATTTTACAGTGGGTAACACCTGTGCCTAGGGCTGGGCATGCGGGCGGATCATCCGCGAGTTTGGGCCGACCCACCCGCATTTGACCCGAATTTCGTTAAGTGGGTGGGTCTATGGGTGGGTGACGGGTTGCGCTAGGAGCCATCCGCCGGGTGGTGGGTGGGTTGTGGGTGGGTGCGCGGGTGACCCGCTCAACCCAACAGCAAAAAGATCAAAGTCGTCGACGCTAGAGAGGGGAGAGTGAAGACGTTAGACATAAACTAGAACTGCTCCTGGAGTTCGAACCTCAAAGTCAACCTTCCAAATAGCGATCCCCTCTTCTTCCCTTTATTTTTTCCTCTAATTCTTTTGCCTAGATCACTACTCTTTCCTTTGTGGAATTATTTTTCTTAGCTCCTTGCACCTGGTAATCATCTCAATCTGTAGAAAAATATTAAGAACTAATTCGACATTTTTCGCCCTATTTCATCTTCTTGTTTCTCCAGATAACTCTCTTCGCCTGTTATCATGTCAAGTTGACTCCTTTATAAGTTTATATTATATACATTGTGATGTGGGTGAACCCACAAACCCACCCAAATCATCCACCATCCGCCCAACCCAACCCGAGACTAAATGTGGGTGAGTGGTGGGTTAAAAATTATCAATCCGTGTAAGCGCGGGTGGGTGCATTTTATGATCAAAATCCACCCGACCCACCCAATACCCACCCCTGTGCCCATATCCTACCATCAATAACCTAATAGCCCATATCAGATATCCATGCATGACTAGTTGGATTGTCATCCCTAGTAAGAAGTAACAAATGAAAATCGTAAATGAGTGGGAACGGCAAATCCCCGCTAAGCGAAAAAGCAAGCAGAACAGTACCATTAACCCCTCTCGGATGAGGATAAAAAGCCCAATTCCATTCCGTTGTCGCCTCTCGCCCCCTTCACTCCACTTCTTTCTCCATTTCTCTCGCTCTCTGTGCCCAGTAGACAGCAGTAGAATAGAAAGCCAAGTGAAAAGCAAAGTTGAGCAAAAGCCAAACGGGAAAGGGGGGTGAGAAAGAAGCTGATACCCATACAGAAGAGACCTTCTCTCCCAAACCGCCCCAAGAAGAAGAAGGAAGAAGAAAACCCAAGTTACCATTTCTATTCACTCTCCACAGGCAGTGAAGAGGAGGGTTTCTTCTTTGCATGTAGTAGATTTGCTCTTTTGGAATTGGAACCCTAACTTCCATCTCCAACGCCACCTCACTTCCTCTACTTCCCATTCTCCTTTTGATGGCCGGTAACCCTTCCGACACTCCCACCGACGATTTCCTCCAGGAAATCCTCGGCCTCCAGAGCTTCGCCTCCGCCGACCCTTCCCTCGTTGGCGCCGATGCCCTCTCCGCTGCTGCCTCCGCCCATGCTCCCATGTTTCTCCAGCTCAGTTCCGGCGACCCCTCCGCCACCGGGATCAACGCCCTAACCGGCTCCTCCCACGGTGATGCCGCCGGTTTCCAGGGTTTCCCACTGGGGCTCAGCTTGGACCAAGGAAAGGGAGGGTTTCTCAAGCACGAGGATGCCTCTGGCAGCGGTGGTAAGCGGTTCCGAGACGATGTCCTTGACGGCAGAGTTGCCATGTCCAAAAATGTAAGTCACGGAGGAAACCAAACAAACAAAAAATCGTAATCATTGTCATAATTAATTACCATTTGGTGCGTTGATTAGCATATTCATTGGGTATTTAAAATTGTCCTCCTTTCCGTTTTATGTACATATATGCTTTAGTTTTTGCTTTCGTACAGATCATTCCTGCGTTGCTTCTTTTAACTGTTGCGGGATGAAGGATACAAAGTGTTCGCTTAAAGCTACAAAAACATGGTTCTTTTGGCTTTTAGCTTTCTGTTCTGGTCTTCTGCTTCGCTGGGTGTTTGTTAGAGATTATTGGCGCTTTGTAGCTGCTAAGTTAGAACAGAAGGGTAGTTGGGGTTTTCGGAGTTTTGCTGGTATGGGGTTCCATGCTTTGTATTTTGACGAGAGGATTACAAAAATGGTTCCTTGTCGGCTCTCTCAGTAGTTGTCATTTGTTTTTCTTATACTGGAATGCTTCAGGTGCACCTTTCTTGCTTCCCTGGGTCACTCTTTTCCTTGACGAGGATGACTTAACTGAAGTTGAGGAAAGTAGAAAATTAATACTGGAATACCCTATGTGGTTTGCTAGGTCATAGTAGGAGGAAGTTGTTTCTTTATCTGACAGAATTAGTTTTTCTGTCAAGAGACACTCTTGATGAGATTGCTTTCATTTCGCATGTATCATTGAGATAAGTGCTTACATGATTAATAATCTGTAAGGCGATATTGATTCCCCTTATGCGAATGATTACACTGTACAAGATATGTTTCTTCATCAGATCTATTTTTCTCTGAATTTGACACAAAAGCTAAGCTCATATTATCTTATTGTTGGATAGTTGGGCCAGGTAGTGTTCTTTCCCAGTTTTGTTACTTTTTTGGATTGGAAAGATTAGTTGAATCTCTAGTTGCTCTGTCTCCACTAAACCTGGCTCCTTTTTTCATATGAGATAAATGCTTTCTTGCAGGTTTTTCATGGTCAACCAATGCCCACAACTGTACCTGCTGCCGCGCCTCACCCCCCAGCAATGCGTCCAAGGGTCAGGGCAAGAAGAGGGCAGGCTACAGATCCACACAGCATCGCTGAGCGTGTAAGCTTGATATATGCTGGTCTTGAATTAGAGCTTAACATATATATAGCCATCTGCTTCTGCTATGCAATCACAAGCATGGAACTCATGTGAAATTCCTCTTGATACCTTTGTCCTACTTTGACACAGCTGCGCAGAGAAAAAATAGCAGAAAGGATCAGAGCATTACAGGAGTTGGTGCCTAGTGTCAACAAGGTCAGCTTTCTCACCACTCTAGTTATTTTGGTCCAATGTCTAAAATGTGGTTGATTGTCAAATTCTTCTTTTATGAGGAGAAACATTAGTCTCTTGCTTGCACTCAATAGAATTCTCGATGTTGGTGATCTTGAACAATTCCAGATGTTGGTAAGTAGAAAATTATTGACGGGAAATATTAGAATTGGTTTGTATATGCAGTAATTTTCCATTTGGGTATCCACACAGTAATGCTTCTTAATATGGTCTTCAAAATTGTGCTTCCTACTCGCAATGTATTCCATAGAGCATTTGATCATCCTAGTTTAGGTTTAGAGTGGCGAAATCCCAAGAAATTGTTAGAGAGCTGAAATACCGTCACATGCTTGAGACTCATTTCTTGCTGGAGCTGGTCAGTCCAGAGCCCTTGTTTAAGACTATATTCCTGGGAAAATATCATATATTTCTATCCTGTGTCAAGGTGTGATAATTGGTTCGTAATTAAAAAGAATCTGAGTCATATTGGTGCATACGTGGATCAGATTGACGCATTTAGCTTTGTTATATTGTTAAAAGATCGATTTCCATGACCAAGTCCGTTAACTTTGTATTTATTTGGAAGGCTACTGTTTCACCAGCTTCATGTAAACTTTGTTTTGCAGACAGATAGAGCTGCGATGCTCGATGAAATTGTGGATTATGTGAAGTTTCTCCGACTTCAAGTTAAGGTATGGACCAAGTGCTCTTTGTTGTGGCAAAGTTGTATGTGGCTGAATCCATTGCAATTCAATCATGAAATTAACTTTTGACATCAAGGATGAATGTAGTAACTGCTCTATACTATACTGTACGGTCTCCAAACCGAAGCATCATCATTTAATTATGACACTGACTCTATCTGCTTTTAGGCGCTAGCATGAGAGATTTCAGTGAAGGTTGTTCTAAACCCTGATTGAAAAAGTGTGATTATCCAACTCAATTCGGCAGCTACAACATCAATGGCGACACTGGTTTTACTTATTTAATTGTCATGGTCACCAGTTTTTCTTCTCTGGTTCCATGGTTCGAAACTTTAGATTTTCTAGAGGTCGACTTGCATATGAACTGGGTGCTTTCCCTCTTCACATGACAGAATTAGAGAAGTCTTCGAAAGTTCAAAGACCATGGTTTGCAAACATTAGTCAGCAAGTGTCACCTAGACTAGGAGTCAGAATATATTGCGGCCAGATAGTGGCTAATTCATGAGATTAGAGTGCTTACTGAGAATTGAGTGATTTATTCATCTATTAAGAAACTTGTCACCGTTTTCAACAGGTTCTGAGCATGAGTCGGCTGGGTGGAGCTGGCGCAGTTGCACCACTTGTAACGGAGATCCCACTATCTTCAGTTGAGGTGGGAAAAATTTGTACTTTCTCATGTATAGTTTGATTTGCCCACTTGTCTTTTTGTCAATGAAAAAGCAAACGACCCCTACAACAACACAATGTGTGGTTTTCAGGATGAAAATGGTGAAGGTGGGAGAAGTCAACCCGCGTGGGAGAAGTGGTCCAACGATGGTACAGAGAGACAAGTAGCCAAACTCATGGAGGAAAACGTTGGTGCCGCCATGCAATTCCTTCAGTCAAAGGCTCTCTGCATCATGCCCATCTCCCTGGCATCGGCCATCTACCACACGCAGCCACCGGATCCTCCAGCCACTGTTAAACCAGAAACAAACCCACCATCGTAGAGAAAACATAACCAGTGAAGATCCTACCCGAATTAGTACTGGTAAGTCCGTCCAACAAAGGTCGCTCCCAAAAATTGGTCCCCGTTTCAAAAGGGTCTTTCTTTTTCTCCTTTGCCGATCCTTATTTATTGCAAATATGCTTCGAGGGTCCCGAGGGGTTTTTGTCCCATTCCAAAGACTACGAATTAGATGTCGTTAGGTTGGGGACTAAGTCTGAAATTCCAAATTGCAATCAAAGTCAGATGCCATGGTTCCTCTTTATAGCTTTTGTTTCTTTTTTTTTTCACTCCTGGTGCTTTATTTTTTCTTATGAAAACAGGGGTTGGATGTCAAATGCCTAAACAATTGCAGGCAGGGCCTTTTGGAGTCTTGGTGGCCAAGTCCCCATGAGAGAGAGGGAGAAGAATTTGTCAAAGGCTTACTTGATAGATAATGCTCTTCTTTTTGGTACCACTGGTGGGACTGGGAATTGGTGGACAATGATGGAAGCACCTTTCTTTCTTTCTCTCTTCCTATTTTCTTCCCTCCTTTTCTTCTCTTACTAGTTAGTGGAGGGCTCTGTTTCGGTTTCCCTTTTCTTTTTCTTCTCTGGTTCTCTTTTGGGGATGATTAGTGGGTTGTGGGACCTTGTAAAGGGGTAGTGGGTGGGTATTAGGGTATTTTATTGTAACAGGATATCAATGGGAATGCAAAAGTCAGGAGAATGGAATGGATAATGGTTGGTTATTGGTTTCTTCAAGGAGTCAATTAGTCAATGTGCTTTGCTTGGTGGTGGTATCCCGTTTCGTAGGAGTGCGGGGAGTTTGAGCCTATTCGTGCAATCCTTAATATGCTGCAGGTGCACTAGCTTGGATGAGATTGTTGCTGAGTTGATTTGTGAAGAGATGAGGCTCAATTGACAATAAGCCATCAGAGTCGGCCTTCCCTGTGGGTTGTTCAAGAGCAGTGAATCGACCTCGGTTCAACCATCCTAGTAACGGACATGCCACATTCCACTTTAGTCAAGAACTAGGTCATGTTCAGATTCATTGCAAGAACGTAGCTCTTGTAACTATTCTAAGAAGTAAGAAGGCAGGTCATATTGTGTTGGAGTTCCCTAACTTGAATAAGTGGGAAAAATTCATACTTCCCAACAACGAAACAGTTGTTGGAAGTTTATTGACTGTCAATTACATGGTGAATCATACACAATGGCCAAGTTTCGTGTTGTTTCAGTTGGCTCATCTTCAAGCAATAATGGTGTGTCGCCATTCTCTCCATAGCTAGACTCCTAGACCAAAACTAGTGCAACAAGCTATACAATTAGCTTTTCCTCAAGCCTTAACGTCACATCATTTTTCTACCGGGGTTTTTTTCTGATAAGTCACCTTGTTGGTAATAAGATTCAGTAGCTTGTAATCATATGACTCATGATTGATCCACCTTTGATACATTGAAAGTTTGAAACTTGTTTCTCAATTGAACTTAAGAGTGGCTATTGGTAAGAAATACCAGTTATTGGATGAGGAACCTCATCGACGAGCTCTACTAACCTTCCAAACACCTTACGTGTAACTAGTTTAATCCCTAACATAGTCTCTGTTGGACAACTAACGGAGGACGGTTGTGATGTGACATTTGATTCGGGTGGTTCTGTGATACATGACAAGAAGATGTGGGGGGTGATATGGAGAGGAAATCATCAAGGAAGAGTTTTTATGCTAGACAAGTTGAGGAGGCAAGCTGAGAATGTGAACTATGGAGAGGGTGGTGATGCTTGTGTGAGTTGTATTGGAGGGCAACAAGTACAAAAGAAGCTTTTCAGTTCCTGAATTTGTGCATCCTAGCACTATGATAAAATCTTTGGATGATTTACATAAGCCATCAACAAATATTTCTGTAAAATCAGTCGGTTTGAATTTTTCAAAGAATGCTTCGACATTGGATTCATGGCACTGTCGGTTGGGTAATCCAAATTCAGTATGATTGTTGATGATGTTTAACCAAATTTATTACCGGAATTGTTCTATTGGTTCCCAATTTTATATTGTGAGTTGTATAGGATAAAAGGCAAGGCTTCTCATAATTTGTTTCTTCGAGTGAGACTGTATGTGAAGCTCACTTTGATATAGTACATACAAATTTATGAGGAATTTCACTAATGACGTCTCATATGGGAATTAAGTACTTCACGTTGTTCATCTATCATAAGACTCGTTATTCTTGGGTTGAGAAGTTCAATTCATAGAACTACAGCTACTGCACAATTGGGTTTTGAATAAAGTCAGAATTATCCTTCCCTCTTTGTTTGAAACACTATTATTGGTGTTGTACTGCTCCTAATCTATGTCGACGACATAATAGTCACAGGAAGTGATTCATCAGGTATCCAAGAGTTGATGGCTTCGCTTCATAAGGATTTCAATCTAATAGATCTTGGTGGCGTTTGTTATTTTTTAGGTTTGGATGTTCAGAGATCGCCACATTGTATTATGGTCTCATAGAAAAATACATAACAGATCTTCTTGAGTCAGCTCAATTTGCAAACTGTAAACCATGTGCAACTCCAATGAAAAAGAATATGAAGCTATGAAGGACAGTGGAGATAGGATGCAAGATCAATCATTATATCGTAGTTTGGTAGGGTGTTTGATTTACTTAACTCACACACGTCCAAATGTACGATTGTGAGCCAACATGGGGATAGCTCGATTACAACATATAGATGACGTATATCAAATTATGAGTTATCTTAAGCAGACTCAAGACTTTGGCCTATTTTTCTCTTCTTCTGGAGAATTGGGTGCAGAGGCTTTTGCAGATGCAGGCTATGCAGGGTGCCAAGATACACATCGATCAATTTTGAGTTTGTGTGTTTGAATTGGACATTCATTCGTGTCATGGAGATGTCGCAACCAAGATCAGGCTTACAAGTCGTTGACTAAATCAGAGTATCATTCCATTCCAGTTAGAAGTAAGCTCTAAAATGATTTGGCTACAATAGCTATTGGAAGACTTTAGTGTTAATTGCAGAATTCTCATTAAGTTGCATTGAGACAACATGAGTGTGATACAACTGGTGTAAAAAATAAGAATATAACTAAGTTATCTGTCAACAGAAGATCGAACTTCTGACATATTGACTAAGGCATTAGCATCCAGTACATTGGTATCTAATGTTCAAAATACTTCAAACTGATGTTACACACCCAACATCCAACATCAATTTGAGATAGGGTGTTAAATTATTGGTACCTAATTGTAATTGTACATATATATGCCTTAGTCATTAGGATTTGATAGAACCTCTATGTATTTATGGAAATCATGTATCTATGCATTGACTGAGGAGGTTTAAAACTCTACTATGAACTACAACTGTAGATAAAGGAACCCACGTTATACCTCGTGTTCATATATGTTGTTTAATTCATAATTAAGATATAGTATTATACTCCAAACTCTATTTAATCCATGATAGATAAAGAAATCTCCCTATGAGTATCAATAGTATCATATACTCTAAGAGTACAACAATCTAGTCCATATATGCTAATGATTAACAAGGTATCTGATAGAACATACTCATGTTAATCTTATGTACTAATCTTCTGTATTCAAATGAAAGTTTCTAGTTTTACAGACATATTTGTTAACTTATTTGTATTCAAACAACTACATTAGAGTTGTTTATAATATATCTAATTTAACAAAGGATGAATACAATGGCTAGTCTTATATAGTTTCATTTTTTCAGTTAGTTACCAACATGTAAAGATATTTCTATGGAAGGGTAAAGTCTACTCCCAATGTTTAAACTAAAGATGTTGAACCTAGTGGAAGTAGACAAGCTCAAACATTTTCTCTCTTACAAGAACCAAATTTTCTAGGTTAAGTCAATCAAACTAGAAAAGAAAGTGAGTCTTTTCCAACACAGTCATGCATCTATGAAGTTTGAAGTAAACTCTTTGGAGCTAGATATAAGATTAAGAGCTAAAGTATCTAGCTTTCATCCTAATGTCTGTTATGAGGTTAGAAGATTTTATCAAAAGGGTATTAATCAACCAAAGCGTCATGCTTTTTCCTTCAGAGATTATGGGAAAGAAGCGTAGCTTCCAAGCTTCTTGGTTTACAAAGTATAACTGGCTTGATATAGGGGTAAATTGCAAGTTTGGTCATTGTGATTACTAAAAACGTTCACGTTTAGTCATTGAAAATATTTAATTCCATTTGTGGTCACTAAAATTAGTTAAACGTTTCAAGTTTGGTCACTTTCCATCCAAGTCCGTTAATTTTGAGTGATGTGGCAGTCAACTCTCATAGTTCACCGTTAAATGTGTGACGTGGCAATTAAAAAATAATAAAAACAATAAAATTTTAAATTCTACATATTTTTCTAACTATTGAAAAATGGAAATAAAATTCAATTTCCTATAATTTCCTATAAAGTTGGGTACAATTGGTTACTTGAGGAAGAGACTGTGGCGGAGGCGAAGATTGCCATGGTGGAGCAGCTGTTGAGATTGGGACCAAGTGTTCAAATGGTGTGGTTACCGTGGTAACCATTTTAACCGGTAGTACTTGGCTAATTTGGCTTGGTTAATTTGGATAATTGGTTTGGTTAGGTTTAATTTTTTAGCTAGTTTGGTTTAGGTGGTTTGGTTGGTTTGGTTTCAGACACTCCTAACCAAGTAAACCAATTAAGTAATTATCCATATATTTAATATATATTATATACACATACGCAATACTTGACATAACTACTAAGGAACCAAACATTCTTTCCTTTTATGCTCGTCAACAATACAACTCAATATTGTCAATAGTATATTTGTATTTGTAGAGTGTAGATAATGATCTATGAACGCATAATTTAGATAAACTCATACAATATATTAGATGAAAACTTGAAAGGAAGATCTTTTTCAACCTATGATAATTGCTAAGAGACTAATTCAATTCACACAATCACTACAATTTATTAACTCTATACTATTGACATATATTTTGGTTACGTGAAAACTTCTATTGACTGTAAGATAATCTTATTAGTTGCATGTATTTCTGTAAGAGTTAACTATAACTATGTGTTCAGTGTAATGTTTTATTCATCATATAAATTGTGAAATGATGCATTAACCGAAAATTTTATCACATAATGATAATGTAATTTATATTGGTTAATCTGGTTAACCAATTAACCAAACCGATTAAATTTTAGTTTGGTTAATTTGGTTGTTGCATTTAGTTTGGACGGTTTGGTTATAATATTGTATTCCATGGTTAATAGATTTTTGACTTATTTGGTTTGGTAATTACCATGGTAACTAGGGCTGGAAGTTTGGTACTTATATTTGGGATATACCGAATACCGTACCAAATTTGTCTATATTTGGTATTATCGAATACACGTATTATTTCTGGGATTGGGATTAAATTTCAATTTTTATTCGGTATTAGGGATTACGGGATTGAGATCGGTATATATCGAAATACCGAACAATACCAAAATATAAGCTAATGTGTATTTTATGCTCTCAACTAAACTCTCTCATTCACTACTACACGACCCTCAACCACCAATCTATTATTATTGTCATAACACAAAAAACAAACACTAGTATTAGTCTTCTCTTAGCCTCCAATTCATCAAATTAAAGATTACCAATGACAAAAACTTGAGATGTCACCTCTCCTCCATTCTCCTTATCCATATCCTAGCTCTAGACAAATGCAAGACTCTTTGCTTAGTCTCTTTCTCCTATATTAAACAATTAAATCTAATTAATTTCTTATTCGATAATACCGATTGGGATACCGAAGTACCGATTGGGGCCGAAATATTTGGGGATTAGGATTG